TCTGTATCCTGTAACTTTACTGAATTTGTTTTATTTATAAATTTTAGAACAAGATTTTATATGTGAGGAAAAAACTCAGAGAAATAATCAACCTAAGGTCACACCTCAAGTAGCAGAGCCAAGATTGGGTCCAGGAGTGTGTGATTCCAAAGCTTTCAGCCGTCCATTGTGCTCCTTTACTGTGCCTGGGAGGCTGGCGCGTGCTTCTGGAGAAGGAGACATTCAGCGTTAGGGATACACTTGCCCATCATTGCCTCACCCTGGACTTTTCAGATTGTTTTGACTCATCCCATGTTGTTCTCTCTTGACTTCCATTCTCCCTCATCTCCTGCTAGTCCTTCTCCAACCTCACACTGCATCCTAGGCATACCTTTTTTTCTCAGCACTTAAAGATGTCCTTGCATTGTTTATGACAAGTCTGTTTTGATTTTTGGTTCCTCTCTAAAAATGTGTCTTTTTAAAGATTTTTCTCTTCAAGCAATTTGGTTTTCAGCAGTTTGAGCATAATATGCCTTGCTTTTCTTTGTGTTTATCTTGCTTGGAATTCATTGAGCTACTTGGATCTTTGGGGTTATAGTTTTCATCAGATTTGGGAATTTTTCAGCTTTTTTTTTTTTTTTAATATTTTTTTGCCCACCTCTCTTCTCTCTTTCCTTCAATTATAGTATGTTAAACTGCTTGATATTGTCACCCAGGTCCCTGGAGTTCTGTTTATTTTATTCAGTCTTTTTTTCCTCTCTCTCTCTCTGTACTTTAGATTGGATGGTTTCTATTGCTGTGTCTTAAAATTCATTGATTCTTCTGCAGTGTCTGATCTGCTGTAAAGCCCATCGAGTGAAATTTCCATTTTAGATACTTTATTTTTCATCTCTAGACGTTCCATTTGGTTCTTTGCATTCCCTCATCTCTCTTCTTGTTACGATCGTATTTTACTCTAACTACTTGAGCATATTTATAATCCCTTATCTGCCGGTTCCACCATCTCTGTCATTTCTGGGTCTGTTGTTATTGTTTTCCTGTTAGTTGTGGGTTGTAATTTGTGGCATTTTTAGAGGTCTAGTAATTTTTGGAAGGATGCCATACATTTAGAATGTCACAGTGTTGAGTGGATTTTATGATCTTCCATTAAAGGATGGTGACGTTTGTTTTGGCAGGCAGTTAAATTACTTGTGGATCAGCTTTACTAGGGCAAGTCAAGGGCTACTTTAGCCTTATTACTAAGGTATAGCCCTTCCAGGGGGAGTCTGCTGATGGGGCCTAACCATGCCCCAAGTGGTTGGCATGGTTTTCCTACTCCAACTGGACAAGATTCAGATATCTTACTCTGCTCTCTGTGAACGCTGGGAATTGTTCAGCTTATAACTGCCCGGAAGTTCTTTGCTTGACCTTGCAGGTCTCACCTTATGCATGCGCATGTTAGTATTTTGTCTAAGACCCCAGGTTACAACTAAGCAGATGTCTGGAGATCTTTCTGTGTAGCTCCCTCCTCCCTGGTACTCCAGCTGCAAAACCTAGCTGCCTTAGCCTTGCCAAACTCCCAGTCTGTCTCATCAGTTTAGCAAGTCTGCCTTTTTCTGCTTGGGTTCCTCCCCTACCCTGTACTACGGTCCATAAATTACCTCCAAGCAAGAGGACAGAGAGAGAGTAGGGCTCAGCTTGTTTGTGTCTCTTCTCTCAGGGACCGTGGTCCTAACTGCCTGTTGTTGTAATGTCTGAAAGTAGTTGGTTCATGCACTTTGCTCATTTTCTAGTTGTTTATGGTTAGAGGGCAAGTTCCATACCATTTGGCTGAAAAAGGAAGTAGCTACTTATCCTTTTGTGAGTGTACCGTGTATTTTTCACACCAACATGCCCTTGTACATGTATTCACTCTGCCTGGGATGTGCTCTTACCATTTCATCTAGTGGATTCCTATTCATTCTTCAAAGCTCAGAATGGCATCTTTCTAAGATTTTTTTCTCCTTCCTTTCCAATTAATTCCTCAGTTGCTAAATTATCAAATCACTTGATATATAATTTCACACCCATATATATTTATGCATATATGTTCTTAAAAATATCTTTCATTTTTTTCTCCCCTACTAGTACATGAAGTTTCAGACATACTTATTTATAATTTATCTTTCTATCCCTAGCACATAGCACAGGGCCTATCATATTTGATTGATGTTTATCAAATTTGAATAGTAAGGGAGTAAAGATCCAGACGGGGCCTCTAAGCAGGGTAGAAATGGCAATGCTGGTTTAGATAGAAAAAGGAGTGTCTGGTGTCTGAGGTTGGGAGCTACGATCTAGCTGCGGTGCAGGCAGCCAGGGAGACTCAGTTACTCTCATCCTCTACACATCGTTTATATGGCTTTGCTTAATGTTGATCAAGAGATACTTATCCCGTAACTCTCTAAGGACCACTAGAAAGTTGAAATTTAAAGGTTCTCAATATGTTTTGTAAAAATAGTTTTTGTGTAAGATTTTTTATGAAAAGTTTTTAAATTTTTTTTATAAAAAAATTTTTGGTGAAAAGTTATATAAATTAACTTAAGTTCTGGGTAATTTTAAAGTAGTAAAAAATTAGCATCCTAGGATAAGTATACCATAATATAACTGGGAATCTTCATATAGTTAAAAGATAGGCCCAGCAGAACTCTCAGTGTGTCTCTAGCTTCTGTGTGAAGGAAGGTAGTTTGTGTGAAGTAGTTTTTAATATTCTTACATTTTCTGTTACCATTCTTGACAGATGCTTTTAACGTCTCATATTGTTTTTAGTAAAATTTCCTTTAGTTCCATTAGTTAATATGACAGTTGTTCACCAGTGAAGCTTACATTTAAGCAGGGTACGTACAGTATGATGATTGTACATTGTATCAAGAGGATATGTAAGTCGTACTGACCACTCCAGGCTAACTTCTACACCTTTGTATAATAGTCTGCGTTTAAAATACATCCTTGAAAATTTTCAGGAGACTAGTTTTGTGCTTCACATTTTGTACTTATGTGAACTACTTAAATTGTTGGGAAAACAGAGAGGAAACCCTTTTGTTAACGCAAGAATGAGTAAATGTAGTAGAAAGGACTAATAATAAATTGCTCTTAAATTTTACATCAAGAAATCTTTGTATTTATGTAAACTGACCTCTATTGAATTTTATTTTGGATGGTAGCGATGAGCTGAGAGACCCAGAGGACAATAAATAGTGATTGAGAAACTTTTTCAACCAAAATGCAGTTCTTTGTTTCAGTTGAGGAGCATAGACAGTTCTGAATGTAACTGGTAAATTGTGGCCTGTATGCGCAGAGCTCTGTGGACTGTACATTAATTACATCGTGGTGCGTCTCTAGTTGTTTGGAACTGAGTTGACTCAGCTCAACCGGAATTTTGCTTCAGGTCATCAAATTTATGTTAACAGCATATAGTACTGCTAGGCTGTAATTAACTTACTCTTGTTGTAAATGTTCACCATTTCCTTTCTTATGAATTGTATATTACTTTAACTTTGGCGTGTGATGGCCATTTTATGGTTAATTACATAAAATTTTGATGCTTTCACGTATAGTTTTTTCATACTATAATCAAAATATAATAAAAAGTCAGTTGTGTAGGTTTAACCAAAATGAAAATCTTATCAGCCAGTGAATTATTTTCTTTCACTTTCATCACCTGCAACTTTTCAGCTAAACTTAAATACGTTCTTACCAATTTTGGTGAAAAATTGTGTTTCCTTATATGGACAGAATTTGAAAAGTAGGTTATCTTAACAAAAAAGAAGGAAGGAAGGAAGTAGAGAACTAAGTTATCTTATGAAAGGGAAATTAATAAGTACCTTTTGTTTGACAGCAGCATGGCTGTTTGGAGTTATATGTTTCACGTTGATTTAATAGCAACTTCATGGAAGCAATCCAGTCTTTTTTTAACACATAAAGGAAATTTTGAGATATGACATAAGCTGTCATTTACAGTAAGAATGAACTGTTTAAATATGGAATTTCTGCTGAAGGGAAATAAAAGTTTTTAATGTTGATTTTTCTCTTATTGGCAAAATTATTTGGAGGGAAAAAAAACTGAGATTCTTTGGCCAGAATGTGGAAGAAAGTTCAAATCAGTACTGCTCTTTTGGTAAGCAAAGGCTGTATCTATTAAAATTGTAAATGCACATATACCCTTCACTCCAGCAGTTTCATTCCAGGTGTCTACCCTTGAGAACTACTAGCACATGAGCAAACAGAAACTTTCATGTGCCTTCTCCTCACAACATTGTTTGTAATAGTGAATAATTAGAAAAAAACTAAATGTCCTTCAGAGGGGACTGGTTAAGTAAACTAGGGTTTATCTATTCACAGAGACATAAGAGTTAAAAATTATGAGATAGATAAATATAAAACCATCATGGAAAGACTCTTAAGACATGTTTAAGTAAGAAAAAAGTAGAACAGTATCAGTAGAATTATGTCTTATGTTGCCATTTATGTTTTTTCAAAATCCACAAAATTAATATTTTTATATGCATTTAAATATATTAAAAAAAAAACTCTGGAAGGATATAGTACATCAAAGTGGTAACAGGGCTTACCTCTAAATGTGGCTCTAGGATAGGGGAAAAGGTCTTCAATGGAGTGCATTTGCTTTATTTTTATTATTTGCATTTTTTACAAACATAATATTTTTATGTATTCTGTAACCAAAAATTCTTGAGAAATTTTTACTTGAAAGTGTGTTAATGTATTTTACAGTTAAAGTTTAATTCTTCAAGTTTTTAAACTGATGTTTTTATTTAGCTTTGGATTGCTAATCTTAGCTCATATTCGAGACTTCACATTTTAAATGTTAAAATGTTTTAAAAAAAGAAAAACAAATGGATTTAGGCATGTAGATGGACAAAAGTTTACACACACTAATTATAGTTTATCTAAATGAAGATAATATGTATAGATATTAAGAACAAAAAAGGCTAAATATTTTTGAGTCTTTTTCCTTTATAATTAGAATGTGCTTCTCCTTCCTCTAGTGCTGCTGGGGGTGAAATCTTTGACCAGTGTGTTGCAGACAGAGAAGAAGCCTTTAAAGAAAAAGATGTTCAGAGACTCATGAGGCAGATTTTAGAAGGTGTTCGCTTTTTACATGCTCATGATGTAGTTCATCTTGATTTGAAGGTAAGATCTGAATTACTTTACAATTTTGAGATTACTGGAGAATGACACTCCAGGTATAAAATACTTAACAGTGATTTATTCAAAGGTTACCAGAGGGGAAGAGGGGAGGGAGGAGGGTAAAAGGGATAATTCGGTACATGTGTGTGGTGATGGGTTGTAATTAGTATTTTGGTGGTGAACATGATGTAATCTATGCAGAAATAGAAGTACAATGATGTACACCTGAAATTTTTACCATGTTATAAACCAATGTTACTGCAATAAACAAAAAATTTAAAAAAAAAATTTATCAAGTTTGTGTGTTTTATTAGGTAACAAAGATATAAGAGTTATCCTCTAGCCAATTAGTTTTATCAAGGAGATAATGTGCATGAGTGTCCATAGAAAGATAGATAATAATACATTCCCCAGAAAATGGAGCTTCGAGGGTATTGCTGGGGTAGGTGAAGGCCTCCTGGTGGAGACAGGGCTCGAGCTAGGCCTTTAAAAACATCAGGATTTAGATAGGTAGGGAAGAACAGGAGAAAGTTAACTTGCGAGAGTTCGAAATACTTGTGATATGTTTGGGCAAAAATAAATGGAATACTGTCACTGGAATTGAGAGATGAAATAGGAGATGTTGGAAGTTGAGGAAAAGCCAGATTCCAGGAATTTCAAATGTCGTGAAGAGGGAGATGATTTTTGAGCAGGAATATCTGAAAAGGAGTGTTGTGGAAAATGAGGCCAGCAGCAGTACGTAGAATAGATTAGAGATTAGAGGCAGGTAGATTTCTAATTTAGTTTTGTCAAAGAAGGAAGTGAGGGAGGGAGGAAAGAATACACAGAAGAATTTTACTAGTTATGATGCTTTTAAGTGATCAAAACGCCAGATCAAAGTAAAGTAAGCAAAAAAGAAATTATATTGGCTAAAAAGTCCAGGAATAATCCTAACTTTAGTTATGGCACTATAACTAAATAATAATTTCATTAATAAATAATAAATTCATTAATTCAGATATTGCCAGGGCTTGGTTTTTCTTCAGCCCTCAGCTCTGCCTTCTCGAGATGGCAATAAGATGGTATTAAGTCAGATGCTGCCGTTTTTGCCTCACAGCTGTCCAGAGACTGAGCAGGAAAGAGCCAGTCTCTGTTCGTACCTCTTTCAGAAGTCCTGAGATCACTCATCACAGCAACATAGATCAATCTGGAGCTAATAATTGCTGAGGGGTGCAGGGCTTTGACTAGCCAGGCCGTGTCATCAGTGTCATATGCTCCAACCCTGGAGGGGTAAACCCCTCCTCATGTCCCAACTTTTATGTGGACTGAGAGTGGGGAAGGGATGGATTCCCAGACCAGTTCTGTTTCTGAAAGAATAGAAAATGAGTGCTCAGGAGACAAAGAGTAAATGTCCACTACAAATATTCTTAGTGTATTCCTTCAGGCATCTGGGGTAGAAAAGTTTAAGATCCCTGTTGATTTTCTGATGGTTGCTTCTGTATCAAGTCCAGGTGTGGCTGTGGGGAAATGAAACAGTCCTCAGACAGAACTCACCACAGTGACTCCAGTTCCTTATCAGCCAGAGGAGACAGAGTTAGGAAGGCAGGAAAGCTGAGAAGGCTGAAACCCCTGGACCCAAAAAAGGCTTTCCTATCCTAAACTTCTGCAGCCTCGTTGCACTCCTGTCATCTGCCGAGCTGTCTTGACCTCTGCTGCAGGATGACCTCCAGCAGAAAGTAGATGTTTATGCAGTGGTTCTCCAACTTGGACACAGATCAGAATCACCTGGAAAGGCTTGTTAAAACAAATTGCGAGGGCCCAGCTCCCGAGTTTCTGACTCAGGATAGGGCCAGGTGATGCTGATACTGCGGGTACAGGTGCCATTTTGAGAACTGCTGCTCTATGGCACACTCTGTAACACCTGATATATACCATACTGTAACAGCGTTTAATTTTTATTGCATAAAGGAACACTCTCAAGTGAGAGTGTACAGTGTGCAGATAATCTGGAGGTTGACTTCTAAACTAAACTTGATAAAATTCCATTTGAAATAAGGTGGAAGCATAATAGATATTCCATCAAATACTAGTTTCTTACAGAAAAATACAGGGGAAAGAAAACAATTTGGAAATTTTCTTGTTCTTTTCTGAAAGATGCCAGTTTAAATTCAGTTTATAAACAGTTATTTTTCTCCAGGATACTAATTTTTTTTTTAAACTTATGAATTATTTCTGAAATTTTCCACTTGATTTCTTTTTTATTGTGGTAACATTGGTTTATAATTTATAAATTTTAGGTGTACATCATTGTATTTCGATTTCTGTATAGATTATATCATGTTCACCACCCAAAGACTAATTACAACCCATCACCACACATATGTGCCTAATCATGCCTTTTGCCCTCCTTCCTCCCCCCTTCCCCTCTGGTAACCACCAATCCAATCTCTGTCTCTATGTGATTGTTTGTTGTTGTTTTTATCTTCTACTTATGAGTGAGATCATACGGTATTTGACTTTCTCCCTCTGACTTATTTCGCTTAGCCTCATACCCTCAATGTCCATCCATGTTGTCACAAATGGCTGGATTTCATTGTTTCTTATGGCTGAGTAGTATTCCATTGTGTATATATACCACGTCTTCTTTATCCATTCGTCCCTTGATGGGCACTTAGGTTGCTTCCAAGTCTTGGCTATTGTGAATAATGCTGCAATGAACGTAGGGGTGCATGTTTCTTTACACATTCGTGTTTTCATGTTCTTTGGATAAATACCCAGCAGTGGAATAGCTGGATCATATGGTAGTGCTATTCTTAATTTTTTGAGGAATCTCCATACTGTTTTCTATAGTGGTTGCACCAGTTTGCACTCCCACCAGCAGTGTATGAGAGTTCCCTTCTCTCCACATCCTCTCCAACATTTGTTGTTTCCTGTCTTGTTAATTATAGCCATTCTGATGGGCATGAAGTGATATCTCATTGTAGTTTTGATTTGCATTTCCCTGATCGTTAATGATGTTGAACATCTTTTCATGTGCCTGTTGGCCATCTGTATATCTTCTTTGGAAAAATGTCTGTTTAGATCTTTTGCCCATTTTTTGATTGGGTTGTTCATTTTTGTGTTGCTGAGATGTATGAGTTCTTTATATATTTTGGATATTAACCCCTTATCAGATATATGGTTTGCAAATATCTTCTCCTAGTTGTTAGGTTGTCTTTTCATTTTGTTGATGGTTTCCTTTGCTGTGCAGAAGCTTTTTAGTTTGATGTTGTCCCTTTTGTTTATTTTTTCTATTGTTTTCCTTGCCAGGTCAAACATGGTACTTGAAAATATCTTGCTAAGACCAATGTCAACGAGTTTACTGCCTATGTTTTCTTCTAAAAGTTTCATGGTGTCAGGTCTTACATTCAAGTCTTTAATCCATTTTGAGTTAATTTTTGTGCATGGTGTAAGGTAATGGTCTACTTTCACTCTTTTGCGTGTGGCTGTCCACTTTTCCCAGCACCATTTATTGAAGAGACTTTCCTTTTTCCATTGTATGTTCTTGGCTCCCTTGTAGAAAATTAGCTGTCCCTAGATGTGTGGGTTTATTTCCAGGCTCTCAATTCTATTCCATTGATCTGTGTGTCTGTTTTTGTGCCAGTACCATGCTGTTTTGGTTACTATAGCTTTGTAGTATATTTTGAAGTCAGGGAGTGTGATACCTCCAGCTTTGTTCTTTTTTCTCAGGATTCCTTTGGCTATTCGGGGTCTTTTGTTGTTCCATATAAATTTTAGGATTCTTTGTTCTATTTCTGTGAAAAATGTCATTGGAACTTTGATAGGGATTGCACTGAATCTGTAGATTGTTTTAGGAACTATGGACATTTTAACTATGTTAATTCTTCCAATCCAAGAGTATGGAATATCTTTCCATTTCCTTGTGTCTTCTTCTTTTTCTTTCAACAGTGTTTTATAGTTTTCAGTGGTCTCTCACTTCTTTGGTTAAGTTTATTCCTAGGTATTTTATTCTTTTTGTTGCAATTATACATGGGATTATATTTTTAATTTCTCTTTCTGCTACTTTGTTGTTACATAGAAATGCAACTGATTTTTGTATGTTGATTTTGTATCCTGCAACTTTACCATATTCATTTATGATTTCTAAAAGTTTTTTGGATTCTTTAGGGTTTTCTACATATAAAATCATGTCATCTGCAAATAGTGACAGTTTCACTTCTTCCTTTCCGATTTGGATCCCTTTTATTTCTTTTTCTTGCCTGATTGCTCTGGCTAGGACTTCCAATACTATGTTAAATAAGAGTAGTGAAAGTGGGCATCCTTGTCTGGTTCCTGTTCTCAGAGGGATAGCTTTCACTTTTTCTCCATTGAGAATGATATTAGCTGTGGGTTTGTCATATATGGCCTTTATTATGTTGAGGTACCTTCCTTCTGTACCCATTTTATTCAGGGTTTTATCAGAAATGGATGCTGTATCTTGTCAAATGCTTTCTCTGCGTCTATTGAGATGATCATGTGACTTATTCTTCATTTTGTTAATGTGGTATACAGGATACTAATTTTTTAGTACAGTGGCTAAAATGGACAGTCGCAACACAGTAGCCCATAGTAGATACAGTGGCCTTTTTTGAAGGCAGGTGTGAACATGTGTGCACCCACATGTGGTCCCAGGATGTTAATGCTGAAGTGGCCTTAGAGATCACCAAGGTAAATCCCTTGTAGCAGGATGAGGGGACTGGGCTTTGTCTTTTCCCTTCAGTCTGTTGTATGCATTAGAAATTCAAAGATCTTTGCTGCAAGAAATACCACCTATGCCTCCCTCGAGAATACTTAAAGGAAGAGATGGTCTCTGCGGTCCAGGCTTCAGTGGACTCATACTTTAAGGAGCCTCAGTTGGTATCAGCCGTGCAGAAGAATTCCTAGAAGTAATCTTTGTGCTGTGCCTTTTTTCATGTTTGGTTTTACACACTTCACTTTGTAAAATTATATATCTATATTTTTTATGATGTTTTGCTAGTTTTATG